TGATGCCTTTTTCTCTACACCAAGGATGAAAATTAGGGGCTGGGGATTTAGCTCAGCGGCAGAGCGCCTGCCTGGCAAGCGCAAGGTCGTGAGTTCGGTTCCCGGTACCGGAGAGAAAAAAAAAAAAAAAAAAAAAAAAAAAAAAAAAAAAAACCAAACAAAAAGCCCCACAGAGCCCATGTATAGGGATTACCATATATAAATCATGTTTAACCTTTTTAAGTATTAAAAATGAAATACTCATTAGATAATGCCTTCTCATTTAATTTAACCTGTATTAAAAGATAATATTCTATCAAGTATTTTCTTGGTAAAAGAAAAAAATCCTTGACAGCTTATTTAACAATATATCCTGATAAGATACCCCTCTAGTATTTCTACTATACTTATCATATACATTCCTCTACTTAGTCATATTGTCTCATTGTTAAGAAACACTACAATATCTCTGATGTTTTCACATACCGCATTAATAGCTAGCTGTTCATGATCCATAGGATCAAGTGTGATGTGACCTCAGACCTTCCCTTTGGAGGCTTAGAGACAAAGACCTCGAAACGGGCACAAGCTCCTTCTGAAAGGAGACCCCCAGTGAGCCAGGTGGGTGGCTGGTGTGTGGGGAGGTAGGCCACAGGTTTCGGGACTGCTAACAATTCACCCTGTACACTCCTCCTGCCTCTCCCCCACCCTCCCACCCCCAGGAAGGAGGGTGCTGGTGATACCTTCGTGGGTCGGCTCTGGGTCTGGCGTGAGTGAGATGTCATCCAGCTCGCGCAGGCAGAGCCATTCCCCATCCATGGACACTCGGAATTTGCAAAGGTAGATGGTCTCCATGGCAGCCTGTGTGATCTTGTCAGTGGTGGGGGTTGGCATGTCGGTCGGAGGCGTCAGAGCAGACATGATGACTCAGCTGGGACCACAACACACACACACACACACACACACAATAAATAAGACCACACACACACACACAAAAAAAAGTCCCCAGTCCAAAGCTCTGAAACAAAGCTTTCAAGAAAAAGGGTGGGGAGGTTTAAAAACACCCCAAGGAAAAACACCGTATAAAGGCAAGTGCTCCAGAGAGACAATTAATTCTACACTGTCCTTCCTTACTGACAATTCCTACCACGCAAAAAACAGGATGATGAGGTCTTCTCCCAGCGTCCTCTCCTTATTGTCCTTTCCTTTTCTCTCAGCAGAGCTTCCAATCCTGCACAGCCAATGCTGCCTTAGCTAGCTTTAAAAATTTGGCCTCGGCATGAGTAAGTAAAAAAAATCCTTTCTTTGTGCAGAAAAAAAAAAAAAAAACCACCAAAGGAAAAAAATTTAATGAAAAATAAACCTGTATTTTCAACTCAGCCTTAAAAAGATCCGAACTGCAGAAATCACTCCCGAATCTGCTCAGATGAGCCAGGATGCTGAGTTCCCACAGGATTGGTCGTGCGCAGTGAGCTGGGTGTTGACCAAAATGGCTGACTAATGAGCTGAACCGAGAGCCCAGGCCCATGTGACCAGGCTGCACGCAGGGCAGCCTCCCAGGATGCTTTCTAGATGCTGCGATGCGGGAACAATTAGGCTGCTCCCTCTCATCCTGCACAACCCACTTCCAGACCATGCTAGTCAAACTGTGAGCAGACATAATGCGATGCACTGACCTCATCCATTCCCCCGGTGGGGTTCAGGACTGTTCACTCCCCACGGGTAATATTCAGCAGCGAGGATGGTGAGAGAGGCCATCAGATCAACTCACCAAGCACACACTCGCCTCTTTTGTCCTCCTGCACACAACTATTCAAATTCTTTAGCACACTAAACGTGGTATTTTAAGAAAAGCTACAGTGGGTTACAATTTAAGTATTTTATTCTCAAGTGTTTATAATTTCCTTTTTCAAGGTAGAAAGAGCTTTTTTTTTAAGACTGGGCAGAGTAAGAAAAAAAACGTTTAAGTTAAAAAAATAAAACCATTTCTTGATTGTGATCTCATCCCTTTTTTATACTGTTATAGTTACCAAGTTTTTGCAGTCAGAGGGAAATGTTTCTAAGAAAATACAGCATCCCCACATAGTGGCACACACCTGTAATCCCAGCACTCAGGAGGCTGAAGCAGGAGGATCACCATGAGTTTGAGGTCAATCTGAGTTACATAATGAGTTCATGGACAGACTGAACTAAGTAGTGAGATCATGTCTCAAAAAAAGGATAACACCACGTTATATTCGAAAAATCTTCCCATCCTAGAATGTCGAAGAAACATTACATACTTTTAAATCTACACATAGAGGCGCACACATGCATGAATGCATGCATACATACACATCTATATTATCCAATGAGGTACTTATATAGCACCCTGCTAGCAGAAAAGTTGGTACTTGCTGAGGTACATATATGACAAGAGGAATGCAAAGGATATTTTTTGAAAAACGTTTTATACAATTTTAAGAAAAAAAAAATTCCTGTTTAAGGGTTCCAGTTTTACAAAGAAACATATAACTTCAAAAAATATAACCTAAGACTATTTATTCTATTCTAGGGATTCTTATCAGAGGGGTCTCTTGATTTACCTCAAATTGGAAACTACCTAGGCATGGTGGTGCATGCCCGCAATCCCACCACTTGGGAGACTGAGGCAGAATTACCTTGAGTTTGAAGTTACCCTGGGCTAGTGAGTTCAAGACCAGCTTGGGCTACATACTAAGACCCTATCTCCAAAAAACCCAAAAAAACCATATACATATATCTGAAAACTGCAAGGAAAAATTTTTCCTTGAATATTTCTAAAATTTCCTAAATGCTTCATCCTAATTTTATTTTTCACTGTTACAATGGTGAACTAGCACAATGTAAGACTGCACAGACTAAGAATACTTCAACCTAAATTGAAAATATTTTAAGCAAAAAAATGCATTTCAGTGTTGGCATGGTGGCGCATAACTGTAATCCCAGCACTTGGGAGGCTGAGGCAGGGGGGTCGCTGTAAGTTTGAGGCCAGCCTTGGCTAAAAAGTGAGTTTAAGGCCAGTCTAGACTACAAAGCGAGACCCTGTCTAAAAAATAAAAATGTATTTCATATACCTAACCTACAGACGTCACAGATGAGCAACATAGTGCAGATGGTTCCTCATTTATGATGGTTCAATGCACAGTTCTACAATGGTGCAAAAGTGATGCACATTTGGGTGAAACTATATTGAAAATGTTGAATTCTGATCTTTTCCTGAGCTAACCGTATGCTGTCCAGTAACTCTGGAGGTGCTGCGCACAAGGACAATACAGTATAGCTGCTACTCTACAGTGTAGTGTTGCTAAGCTATGCTTGGTGGGTTAAATGCATTAAATGACTTCTGTGTGTGTGTTTCTGTGGTACTAGTGATTCAGCCCAGGACCTTCTTGCTGAGCTACATTCCCAGCCTTTTTTTTTTTTTCAAAGCAGCTCATTAAGTTGCCAAAGCACCCAGGTTAAGCTCAAACTTGTGATCCTCCTGCCTCAGTCTCCCAAAGGGCTGGGATTATAAATGTGCCCTTCCACACCTGGTAGTTAAATGCGTTGGGGGGGCAGTGGTCCTGGGGACTGACCCACTGAACTATACCTCAAACTGTGGTATATGAGTGAATTAAGCACTGAATGATACTTTCAACCTGCACTGCCTTTATCTAATGTGACCTCACTCTAAGTCAAGAAGCACACATGCAGGTTGCCGCTGTTCCCCTTGTTACTGTGGGCCTCACTAGGGCCTATGGCCATGTCACCGCCAGCATCTCAAGAGTCTAATGCTGTGTATCACCAGGCTGAAAAGGAAACTGAAGATTCAAAGCAGTTTCTCCTGCATGTGTCACTTCCATACCATTGTAAGGTTGGACAATCACAAGCCAGAGACTATCTGTAAACACACACTGGTGTATAATCAGGGAAAAATCAGTAAATTATCAAGGAAAATAAAATAATCTTGGTTTATTTATTTTGATCTCATTTTCTCTCAACATTATCCTACATGTGGGCCTAGTGCCCCTTGTTCATTCATTTGTTCCATTTGGGAAATACCCAGTGGCAGATGCTCCTGAGTGAGACAGGACATCTTTCCTGAAGACAGAGTTTATGCATCCCAGTGCAGAGCACCAGTCCTCTCTGACAGTCACACTTAATCACAGTTCAGTTCCCTTCCAGCCAAACATACTTCCCTCCTATACAGTGAAACACAAAGAACACAATTTATAGCTTCACTTTATGTCATGCAGTACTTCAAAATATAGTAATTGGTCCATTAAAACCTTTAAATTATACTAAATATAATTCCTGGGGCCACAACTTCAAACAGCACTGGCTAACTGTACTTGTGACATCAGGATCCCAGGCAGCTGACACACACATACTATAAAGCACAGAGCAGGGTGCTGGGGATTTAGCTCAGCGGCACAGCACCTGCCTGGCAAGCCCAAGGTCATGAGTTCGGTTCCTGGTACTGGAATCCGCCCCCCCGCCAAAAAAATAAAGTACAGAGCAATGACTACACGAACTAACTTGAATACTCTCTGGTTTCCTCACCTGTCTGCAGGGGATATGTTCCAAGCTGCCCAGTGGATGCCTGAAACCAAGTAGCATTCCAAATGAACCCTAGATATGCTTTTTTTCCTATCCTGTGCCTAAATATTTAAGATACCATTTAATTTACAAATAGGAATGGTAAGAGAATAACAGCAATAAAAACAGAATCATCACAATAATCCTATAAAATAAAGGTTATATGAATGTGTTCTCTCAAACATCTTACTGTACTGGTAAGAGTGTAGACTGATGTAACCACCGTGGAAATCAGTGTGGAGATTCCTCAAAAAACTAACACTAGAGGTTCCATTTGACCCAGCTACTCCCCTTCTTGGTATGTTCTTGAGAGAATTAAAAGCATCATACCACAGTGATATATGCACACCCATATCTATAGTGGCAGTCTGTAATAGCTAAATCTTGGAAACAGCTTAAATGCCTATCAGCCAATGAACTGATATAGAAGATATGGTTCATTTATAAAATGGAGTACTACTCTGCCATAAAGAAGGATAAGCCTGAGACATTTCTAGCTAAATGGATGCATCTTGAGACCATGCTCTTAAGTGAAATAAATCAGATTCATATATTTAAAAACCAAATTGTTTCTTTGGTGTGAGAAACTGAAAGTGTAAATAAGAACCAAAATATACATTTATATTAGACACTGAGACATGGGAAGAAAATATTCAAATAAGAAGGGCAACAAGGGTGGGGGGAGGAAACAGGAAAGAAGGGACAAGAAAAAAGAAAACAGAAGGGAAAATGGAAACAAAGCTTTTATAAATAAGCAGAGGAAGAGGGGTTGAAGGGAGGGGAATGGGAAAAAAGCAACAAGATACATCATGTATAGGTACAGATTCCCTATGGTGAACATGATCATTATGTACATGTAAACTGTACCATAAAATAAAAAAAGTAAAAAAAAAAAAATCTTACTTCATTGAACGTACATCTCTTCTTATGGTGACATGGGTGACATAACCCTAGGGAAGAGGGATGGAGGCACTCGAGAGTGTGCGGCTGTGACCCTGAGGTCGCCTGAACATAAGCAGTGCACACTGAGGACTGACCTGGTAATTGAGGGCGCATCTACCATGAGGTACAACAGAGAGAGACAGCTCATGACTCGAGGATGACACGGGAAAGCTCGAGACTTCATTACACTGCTTAGAATGGGATGCAATTTAAATTTTCTGAACTCCCTACTTCAGGAATCTTCCAGTTAACATTCTGGACTACAGCTAATCCAAGTAAATAAAGCCACAGAAAGTGAAACCATGGATAGGAGATGACTACTGAATTCCAACTGATCATAAACCATGACAATCTCTTCCCCAGCCAATCAGCATCTCACACAACCTTTTCACCAACCAGCAAGCACTTACTACTTCTGAATAGGAGACCTGAGCCAATCATAACATGCCAGCACAACAGGAACGTCTAAGTTATTCAATAAGACACTTGGTGTATCAGTCACTTTTCTCACTGCTGAGACAAAATACCTGACACTCCAAGTTAAAGAAGGAAAGGTTTACTTGGCTCACAGTTTGCAGAGGTTTCAGTCCACAGTCGGCTGGCTCCAAGGCATGGCATGGCAGAGGAGCATCACAGAGGATAAACAGTCCATGGCAAAGCAGGGCAGGCAGAAAGCAGCAAAGCAGTGATGCAGGAGCAGCAGGAGGAGCAGCAGGAGGAGGAGGTGCAGCAGCAGCAGCCGCCGGTGCCGCCACCTCCACCTCTCCCTTTTATCCCTTCCAGGTTACCCATCTTTTGGGTAGTACCACCCATACTCAGGGCAGGCCTTCCTATTACCCACACCCAGAACTATGCCAACCCAATCAGTGGAGTAATTTCACAATCATGCACCCGTAATTCCAGCACCACATACTTGATCCTAGCATCACAATCTTAATCCAGCCACCTCTGAAAAGCCCTATGTATGGCTCCATAAAGCTTTGGGGGGACATCCAGATACAAGCTGTAACACTTGGCTAATGTTCCTTTAAAAAATCCTTCCCAAGCC